AAACAGAGCTGTCATTTCTGGTTATAGGATTATGTTTATGAAATAATATGATATTTGGTGCCAGCATAATATGTTGTGACATAGATTCTTCAGATTTTTTTTCTCTTTGCTATGCATTATATTTGAAAAGAGACTATTTTAAAGGAATACTTTAAGCACCATAACCGCACCTGTGTGCTGTAGCGGTTATGGTGCCAAGGGTGACCTGGAGACTCTTACATGGAGTCTGATAGTGGGGATGAATTATGAAAAACTGATTTAGAGCATATAAAATGAAGACCATATAGAACATGGTATATGAGGAGTCATGGTAAAAGTACATAAAATAGGGATGAGGTGTTTAAAATTGGGTTAGCAAGAGTATATAAGATTCGAATTAGGGATTCTGGAGGAGATATATAAAAACAAAGTCAGAAAAAGAAAAGAGAATGAAGGAGCACACCAAACAAGAAACATATATATGTACATATACACTGATCAGCTACAATATTAAAACCAGCTGCCTAATATCATTGTGCTCCCAAAACAGCTCTGATGCATCGAGGACATATTTTGTGGTATCCCCAAGAACATATTTTGTGGTATCTAACATATTAGCAGCAGCTCAGTTAGGTCCAACAATTTGCGAGGTGGGGCCACCATGGATCGGATTTGTTGTTCCAGCACATCCCACAGATGCTCCATAAGACTTAGATAAGGGGAATTTGGAGGCCAAAGCAACACCTTGAATTCTTTTTCATGTTCTTCAAACCAAAGAGGAACATGAAAAATCATTGACATGCAGTGGTGTGTGTACCTGGTCTGCAACAATGTCTAGGTAGGTGGTATGTGTCAAAATAACATCCACATACATAGCACTTCAGCTGGTAGCTGGTTCATGAGCCCGACTTCCACGCTCTGGGCTCCAGCACCCTGGATAAGGTGAATGTGGACAGTGGGTAGATGGACCCCCCTTCTACCAGGACGGTGACCGTACCCCGGGTCTTCTCCTCTTCGGTAACAAGCAGGGGTAAAACTAGGGTTAGGGTGGCTTCAGTACCTCGCAGTGTGCCTGTTCAGCCAAACCGGCTGCCTGTGGTGGTCCTACTTGTTGGTGGCGGCCTGGATCGGGTTCACTTCATGCACGAAGGTCCAGGTTTCCTTGTGGGGGTTCTGAGACTCGGTGGGAGCACCAGTGGTAACAGAGGGCTGCTGCTCGCCGGGCAGGAGGGGCCACGGGGATCACCCACTGGGGTTGGCCTCTTAACAGTGGACAATTCTGTTTAGCGTGGTGACACTGAAAGCATCGCTGGTCCGCCCCGGTCGATGCCCGCAGACGGGGGGGTCTGAGCCGTGGAGCCTCAGAGCAGAACTGCTGGGGTAGGGGAAGGTGGTGGAAAGAGTATCTGCATACTGATCAGCCTGCCGGGCTGCTTTGGTAAAAGTCTTGGGCTGCGTGTCTCTCACCCATTCATTCACCTCGGTCAGGAGCCTTTTGTAAAAGTGCTCCAGCATGAACAGCTGAACTTTGCCTGTTGCGAGTTCATCCAATTCTGGGTGGCTCGGGTGATGCGGCATGCCCACTCCACATGGGAGTCCTTCTCCCCTTTCTTTGTCTCCCTGAACTTCCTGCGGTATGCCTCTAGGGTTATGGCATATTGGGCTAGCAGGACCTGTGTCACAAAGTCGACATTTTGGACCTTATCTTCGGGTACGTTCCCGTAAGCCTCTGACGCCTTCCTGGCTAGTTTCCGGGCTTGGATGGTGACCCAGTCTGCGGGGCCAACTTCTTGTAGGAGGCACTGGGGCTCGAAGCCCTGTAGGAAGTCGTCAATGCCCTCCTCTGCTTCATTGAATTCACTGAAGGTGTCGAAGGGCAGTTTATGCTTTCGTGCGGAGTTTGCTGCATTCCCCGAGGACCCTTCTCCTGTTCTTTGGGCTGGGTGGAGTTTGCCCCATTCTTCTGAGTCAAGACACAGGCTTGGACCTCAGAGAAGAGTCTGTTCATGGTTTCCTCGGAGGGGGTATCTTTGTAGTACGTCAGGGGCTGGGTCACTTCCCTGTGAATGGCATCCAGTTCACTTCATGCACATGAGGGCAGCAATCAGCACAGCCTTTGTAATGTTGTCCTTTTTAAATTTGTATAGTCCATGGGTCTGTTCATCTTATGAACGCTGGTTCCATGTGGCTGCGAAGTGCAATCCCACCGCTTGCCACCAGTTGTAGCGGACCTAGTGTAACCCGATTGGTTACCTCTGCTAATTCCCTTCCTTCAGCCAGACGGGAACCAGTTAGGGCATAAGGAGACCCATTCTCATCCCCCCTCTGTAACTGGACGACACACAGTCCTGGAGGTACAACACACTTTTATTGGCCACACACGGCTTTTATGCATAACCGCGTGCAAGAGTTTTAGCACACAAACATGCAAGGACACGTCACAAGATCCTTCCCCTCCCTGGGACCCCAGCACGGGAAGGGACTCAGCTCCTTCTGTCCCCAAAGCCTGCCACTAAACCCACAGGGTTTTCCACACCAACCGCCCAAGAGCCTCTGTGCCCGGGAGTCTAGGTGCACAGAAAAGCCCACCCACAGGAAAAGAACTGGTCTCTTTGTCCCTCAGACTCATGAGAGCCCGCCAAACTCGCCAGTGCCCCAAAAGTGCCCACACCAATCTCAGGGACCCTCGCCTTGGTCCCTCGATCGACTAGTTTGCGAGGTCCTGGTGTGAAACCCAGAGAAGAGAAGCATCTCCTTTCGGGTATTAAATTATGTTATAGTTCTTTGTTATGCCTTATTTGTTATGAATTGTTTTCTTGTTCTTCTCAAAAAAAAGAGGAGGTACTTGTATTATCAGGCCCTTAGATAGCTTACTGATCTTTGTTCTGATTGGTTGCTTTCTTTCAGTGTAAAACCTGTTTGCTTCTGGAGTTTGGAAAAGGGAGTTTAATGCAAAATATTCACCTTTTGTCATTACTAAAATTAAGATTGAGATGAAGTAGTCTGGGTGCCTATAGTGTCCTTTAAAGCCACTCTGTCAGTGTAAGGATTAATGGGAAAACAAGGGGCTGGCTGGACTCACCTGAACATGCTTAAATGGGGTGCTGCTGGGGGCCAGTAAGTACAGTAAAAATGAAAATCCAGCGCACTCCCATATCTACTAAACAGCTACTTTGGTGCTGACAGATTTTGCTAGTTTTATTAAAAACACCTAACCTAGGCAAAAAATAATGGGGGTTTAGTTACATTATATGATCATACATTGCATAAGCCTGCCACAACGTCAATGTACCCCATCTTTGGCAGGTCCTACAATAACAGCCAACTGTCTACTAAATGAGCTACTCACTTGGGGAAATCCTTCCATCTCGAGTTCTCTGCAGTACAAGGCTAAATAGGATCCTGAGATGATGACACAACTTCTGGTCTTTCCTCCCTCAAGTGTTGCTATTCCCGTTTCTACCTCCCTCCATGTTAACGGTGTTACCACCAACTCCACCATGAAGGCTCACTGCCTAGGTGTTCTCTTTGACTCCGACCTCTCCTTCACCCTCATGTACATTCAAATGCCAAATCTTGTCGTTTCCATCTCAAAAACATTGTTCGCATTCGCCCCTACTATATGCCAGGCACGGCTAAGGTGCTGGTTTATGCCACTATCTTCCCTTGTCTTGACTACTGCAATCTGTTTGTCAGTGGTCTTACATGTTTCCAACTTGCCCCATTACAGTCTATAATGAATGCGGCAGCGATGCTCATCTTCCTGTCCGCTCGCACCTCTCACAACTCAGCCCTCTGTCAGTCCCTGTATTGGCTTCACGTAAGACATAGAGCTCAAATGAAAATTCTGTTTTTTGCTTTCAGATCTCTACATAATGCTGCTCCCACCTATCTATCCTCCGTAATACACAAGTATGTCCCGTCTAGACCCCTACGCTCTACCAAAGACATAAGTCTATCCTGTGTTTAGTACTACCACCTCTAGTGGTCACCTTCAAGACTTCTCTAGGGCTCCACTGTTCCTGTGGAACTCTCTTCTCTGTTAAATGCTCACCCAGTCTTTACTCCTTCAGTAAAAAAATCACTAAAACTCACTTCTTCACGAAAGCTTATCAATTAAACTGTTAATAGCTCCCAACTGATTCCTCTCCTGCAACTGTCATTAAAAATGCACACTAAGTCTTCAGTGAATACTATTCTAGCAATCTACTTCTCTGTTACCCTTTGTGTCCCTTTACCCCACTCCCTCTAGCATGCAAGCTCATTGAGCAGGGCCCTCAACCCCTCTGTTCCTGTGTGTCCAACTAGTCTGGTTACAATTACTTGTCTGTTCGTCCACCCATTGTACAGCACTGCGGAATTTATTGTCGCTTTTCTAAACATATTAATAAAAATTAAACAGGCAGAGTGAGCTCTGAATTACATGTTGTCTCAGTGATTTTGTTCCCCAAACATGCTTGAAACGGTAAGTCAGCAGATGGATGTGATCTATGAATCATGGGAATTAGTCACTGCATTCACTGTCAGTCCCCCCAAGCCTTATTATGGCTCCCCAAACTCTAGGGATCCTACAAAAATCAACACGGAGAATTGGTGACACCACGCGGAGATAGGCAAGTACTAAGCACCCGCCAATGACAAACGATGTGTTACTAAGTCTCCACCCTTAGTCAATTTTTCTACATATAACCTTTTTTCCTTATTTTTTTTCTTCTACTTTTTAGTTAACACCGTGTAAAAAAAAAAAAAAAAAAAGACAAGGGGGCGGGGCAGGTCAGGGGAACATATAACACAACATTAAAATATAGAATAATGACATGGCCGCTTTAAGAGAAAGCAGCCTCATACAATCCCTACATGGTCACCCCCTGGCCTTTCACACGGCGTGCGCGTTCCAGCTCAGTCCAACGTGCGTACGTCACGGCGCGCGCCTGCGTCACGTGCTCGCTGCTCCAGAAGTCAGTTCAGGACTTGGTCACATGACAGCGCCCCCACGTGATCACGTGAACACACACAGAGTTCCAACACATAGTTAGAAACATGGAGGGCGATGAGGACCGCGAGGCGCTCCTGCCCGGGGCCACCGACCGGCCGAAGATGGCGGCAATATGCGATCCCAGCCGGCTCGCCCACAGGATCGTGGTGCTGATCCTGATGTGTTTCCTTGGATTCGGTGAGTGAACCCATGACACTGGCTGAGCTGTAAGGGTTACCCCGGTCCGGCATTTATCCCAATGATCGGCGCGCTCCTTCATTCCAATATCTCGCTCTACATTCAAATGTACAGCTCACGCTCAAACCTGGATACTGTTTGACACCCCCTTTAATGGAAACACGTTGGACTAGTATGTTTACATTGTATGTTCAATGGGGCTCCCGAATATACTAGTGATGGCCTATGCCTTGTTATGGGGGGGCTGATAGACTTGGGGTGATTAAGTGGGGTAAAAAATGCAATAAAAAAAGTACACAAGAATGGTTAATTAGGATTTGGAGTAACTCACAATTTCAGTTTTATGCACGGCATAATCGTTTAGGCAGGGACTTTGCAGAGAGTTAGAACTTCTAAGGGTGTGACTTATGGATACTACAGGCACCAAAACAACTTTAGTTCTATGAAGCAGTCTTGGTGTATTCATTATGCCCCTGCAGACTCACTGTTCAATTCTCTGCTATTTAGGACACTAAATCACTCATGTCAATGCAGCCCTTACTAAACCTCCCTTGCTGTGACCCACATAGGTAGGCTACAAGAATAAAATGTATCATTTTCAATCAGGTGTTAAAGGGACACTCCGGGCACCAAAACAACTTCCTCTAAATGAAGATGTTATGGTGCCAGGAGGCCCTCAAGGACATTCTTATTTCAAGGTGTTAAACTGTACTTGAATAGTTTAACCACAAAGTTGTCTCCAGCGGCGATCTCTGCATGGAGACACTGAACTTTAATTCAATGCATCTCTATGAGGAGATGCTGATTGGCCAGGGCAGCGTTTGGCTCCAACCCTGTCCCGCCTTCTTGGCTGAGCTCATCAGAATGCTTTCTTATGGAAAAAAATTGGAATTGGTTGAGACCATCATCACTTCTGATGATGTCAGTCAAGGAGGCTGATATTAGGGGCAGAACTAACACCAGCAGACTGGAATAAAGATAATATTTTACTATACTTAGGGGGTGGGCTGTGGGGGGCTAGATAGTGATCTTAACACTATAGGGTCAGAAATATATGTTTGGGTCAAAGCTAAATGGTGCTTAATTCATGATTTTCAGATTAACTTCTCACTCCCCCCCCCATTAAACTTACAGTTGCCAATTGAAGATTATGCTAGCGCTAGTGTACTTATAATCTTAATTTTAGTAATGACAGGAGGCGAGTATTTTGCATATAACTCTCTTTACTAACTCCACATAGCAGTAAAGAAAAGTGAAAACGATAACCAATCAAAATGCAACAGGGTGTATAGTATTCACAGTGATGAGGCTCCTCCCCCTCTTTCGGAAGCGACATCAGAGAACCCAGTAAACCAAAAAGTCAAAACATCTTGTAACATGCACCAACGGGTGCTTCCCACGGAAACGGACTTTCACGGCATGTGAACTGATCCAGAATGTCCTGAAACGTGCACCAACGGTTGGCTTGTCCGATTAACGAAACCTCAGGAGGTAAAGGCTGATCCAACTGTGCCCATCCTGAGAACGAACTGATAACAGCGCAGAGTTAAGCTGAAAAGAGAACGTGAAATGGGTTAGGCACCGGTCTTTAAACTGGTTGCAGTAATGACCAAACATAGTATAACAGTAATAGTCTCTCTGGTTAATGGCCAATGTATAAAGAACATAAACAAAACCCAAACCATGAGGAGGGAACAATATCAATACAAGATAGGCCCACGGAAATATAAATGTATACTTACGTGCATCCACTCTTCCCAAGGGTAGGAAAATACTCGCCACGGTCATTACTAAAATTAAGATTATAAGTAAACTAGCGCTAGCATAATCTTCAATTTTACCACATGACAGGAGGCTTCCTATTTTGCATTTTTTAACGCTGATGCAGAAGAGACATAGCCACACCTGAACTTGGACGAAAGTAGAATGTCCGAAAGGTAGATTCCCTCGACCAGTCCACTGACCGGAGGATATCCGTCAAAGATGCGCCTGCCGAGAAGGGAGAGGAGGCCTCCGCCCCGCGCACTGAGTGAGCACCAAAACTAGCGTCCACACCCTCCAGTGACAGGATCCATCGCACCCATCTGGCGAGTGTGGTATTCGGAACGTGTGATCTGACATAGGGCACTAGAAGCTGTCCCGAGGTAGAGACCCGGAGAGTGGACGTGGTCTCCATGTACTGATGCAGTGTAGCGACGACGCATAGTTGAGGCTCGGTAGTGAAGAAGGGGTAAAAGACCGACGTAGAGTCCGATTTGGTACGTCGTGATATCCTGAAGGTAACTCCCTCGGGAGAAACCGAGAAGGCGTTGATGTCAAAGGCCCGCACGTCCGAAACCCGACAGAAGGAAACGAGGCAAAGCAAAAGGGTCAGTTTGGCCGAAAGTTGTCTGAGAGACAGTCTGTCATTAGTTGGCTAGTCTCTCAGGAACCATAGGACCATCTCCACGTCCCATAGGTGGGAGTATTTAGGTCCTGGTGGTCTCTGTAATCGGATACCCCTCAGGAGACTGCATACCAGAGGATCCTTCCCTACGGGGATACCTAAGGTCGGGACGTCCGCCTCCGAAAATTCAGAATGGCCGTTACAGGTGCAGTAAATGGATCGAAATTCCGTTCACTGCACCAAGAGGACCAGGTATTCCAAGCTGATAGCATCGTCTGGTCCCGGGTGCCCAGGAGTCCCATATGAGGTCTCTAGCTGCTTGCGATAAGTCGCTGGTTTGCCAGGGTCCCCTGAAAGAGTCCAAGCCACCAGGGCGAGGCGGTCTTCGAGGATGAGGGGATGGGGGTTCACCTTCGGATCCGTGAGGAGCATCGGATAGGATGGTAGGAGTGGTGGGTCGGCGTAGGACAGTGCCAGGAGATCCGGAAACTATGGTTGGCCCCGCCATAGGGGGGCGATGAGGAGTAGAGATCCGTGTTGATTCTTCAGGTATTGAATCGTCCTCGATATCATGGCGAACAGGGGAAAGGCGTATGCTCCCTCGGTTGGCCATGATTGGAGAAATGCGTTCACCGCCGCGCTCTCCGGGTCCGGAAGCCAACTGAAGTAGTTGTGTGTGTCTGTTTGTTGTTGCGGGATGCAAACAGATCCAGTTGGAAGGGACCTCTCCTGTTTGAGAGGCGTTGGAAGATCTGAGGATCCAGTCTCCAATCGCTGCTGTCCCGCCAGTGACGTGAGAACCAGTCCGCTGTCAGATTTGTCAGGAGTTCTAGGCAATTTATGTGTAGGTCGATTTCCTGAGAAGTCCAGGCGCCTCCTGTCGACTTGCATTCGCCCGTCGCGCCCCAGCCCCAAAGGCTGGCGTCCGATTCCAGAACTATGTCGGGCGAACACCCGAAGATGGCTCGGCCGTTCCATGCCTCCATGCTGTCTAGCCACCATCTGAATTCCTCCTTCACCTCCTCCGTAATCGGGATCGTTTGGTCGTAAGAAGGGTTCCGGTGCAGGAAGGAGGTCTTCAGGCGTTGCATCGCTCTATAGTGAAGCGGTCCCGGGAATATGGCCTGGTTGGACGCGGATAGTAGTCCCACAATCCGAGCCAGATTGCGGAATGGAGTGGCAGTGAATGACTCTGCGTAGTTCTTTTTTGATGGCCGCGATCTTTGCCGTCGGTAATCGTAGTGTGCTGGACCCAAAAATCTCGAAACCCAAAAACTGCACCGTCTGAGCTGGAGATATTTCTGACTTCAGGAAGTTCACCACGAAACCTAGTGACGTCAGGAAGTCTATGGTAAATTGTGTGTTGAGTCAGTCTGGATTTGTCGGAGCAGAACAGAAGCAGGTCGTCCAGGTAAATAATGCAACGAATCCCTCGTGCACGGAGACGCGAGATCCAAGATGGCCGCCGCCGGGCAAGAAAACCCTGTGCGCGCCGGTTGGGCTGAGCGCGGTTAGGAGACCGCAAGGAAGGGATAGAGGAGAGGGGTGAGTGTTACCTCTGAGGTGGGAAATAAGAGTGATCCGCCGAGGGCGGATAGCTCGGGAGGAAAAGCCACAAGCGGCCGGCGGGGAGAGGGAGCAATAAAGTCCCAAAGATAAGGGGTAGTAGTGAACACAGGGATCTGAGTCACAGTGGGCAGAAAACCCCCCAGAAAACATAGAAACAAGCAAGAATACAATCATCAAACATATATAAAATGAATAAGTGCTAGAATTAATAAAGTTAAATAACCAATTAAACAGTAATGAGGGAAGAGCTTAAACTCTGACCTGTCTGCTGATGGAGCAGTAAAGAAAGAGGGGGAAGAGCCTCATCACTGTGAATACTATACACCCTGTTGCATTTTCTTTACTGCTATGTAGAGTTAGTAAAGAGAGTTATATGCAAAATAGGAAGCCTCCTGTCGTGGTAAAATTTGGTAGCTTTCTTCTAGTATTTGTAAAACCTTGACCTTTTTAATTACTATTCAACACCTCACAGTCCAATAATCACTCTAGACAACACTTTTGCAATTCTCTAAAATCCTATAATCTGGTAGCTTTGTACTTGTCCAGCTGCTGCTTAGCAGTACATACATAGATGGGTATTTGTTTGTCTGATTGACCGAGTTTTAGTCCTTTGTTTAAAAATAAATAAATTATACTTTATAATAAACTGTAATTGTGATTTTAAACTTTAATTCACTAAAGTGTACATATGGCAAAATATATATACAATCTGTTATTTCTAAAATGTGTTAAATGTTTAACGTCCCATCAGCATTGTAGTTTACAACGGTCATTTAAAGGTGTTCTGTCTCAGTGTAAAACTAATATCTGTTGTACTATTTATTTTTACCAAACAACATATTTCACATTAATAATATTTATGTGCTGCAATGTTTAAGTTAAAATGCCTTTTTAAATTTGTATATACGGGTAATGGCACACTTGATAAGGGCTCATTTTTTGGGAGGGATTCATTTCCTGGAGTTACTCCCTTTCGTGTGATAACACTGCTAAGGCTTGTAGCCCAGACTTTCATTTCCTATTTTTAACTTTCCAAAGAAAAGAATAGAGAACACATGCAAATACCATGAATACGCTGAGATAGAGATAGAGATAGAGATATATATGTATATATATATATATCTCTATTTTTTTTTTTTTTTATTATAGTTTTGCTAATGTTTGCATCATAATATTTCGTTACTAAAAAAGAGCTGGCATACTTGAGGAAATCCTACAATTTACTGCATTCAAATTCTAGATAATTTATTTTTAAATAAAGCTGCTTTTGTTTTTAACCACTTGGTACTTTGAAATTTGATGGTACATTATTAACAGTACTTTTTAAAGTCTTTCATTTTAAAACAAAATCCCTGCAGTTATGCTAGTGGAAGTTATCTGAACAGGAAGTTGGTTACCTTCATACAAGAAATTGCAGATCAGTTCATAGTAGGAAAAAAATAACTTGCTTTAGATATGCGGTATCATTGTTTTCAACAATAGAAGTAAAAATGTCTATGGGAAAGGTATGCATAGACTTCCACCTTGTTTTCTTTGTGGTTTTTCTAATCCTAAAGGCCATTTATATCCAGTGTATCTTTATGCATTCCCTAAAGCAGGCAGAGGCAACCTTCGGCACTCCAGATGTTTTGAACTACACCTCCCATGATGCTTTGCCAGCATTATGGCTGTAAGAGCATTATGGGGGATGTAGTCCACAACATCTGGAGTACTGAAGGTTGCCTATCCCTGCCCTAAAGTATTATAAAATATCTTGGATCAGAATTGTTAGGTTATAAAGAATGGTGTTGCTACAAGTTGTTAAAATTATTGCTTTCACTCTACTTTTCAATTCTGGATATTTGCTATACAGCACAACGAATAATTAATATTTTACACGCGCACAAAGAACTCTGTACTAATCTTAATGGCATAAATAGTTAGACTCTGAAAAATAGCCTATTTTCCAAGGCGTGTGGGTAGCATCTAACCTAAAAAAGGAGCTTAGGAAACCTCCAGAAACAAAAGCTCAATTATAACTGCATGCGAATGTGCAACAAAAGTGATGAATAAAGTGCATTTTTTGTTTAGTAACAATCTTTGTATTTTCTTACAGGTAGCTATTTTTGCTATGATAATCCGGCTGCTCTGCAAACTCAGGTCCAGCTTGTAAGTTGATTCATTTTGTTTTCAATGTATTTTGTTGCTTTAGAATGGTTGCGCATCAAACAAGTGCTTACATTAACTTATTTCAATTTTTGGTACTGTCAGTTAAGTTATATCTGTCTAATACTATGAAATCATGGCTTAGCATGATCCGAGTTGGAAAACAGATACAAAGTGTAGGCATTGGCCTTCTTATATTCCACAGTGCACTCTAAGCACCAAAATCACTACATCATTAGCTGCCCAACTGTGGTTGGCAATAATAGGCCAAAATATATAGATCTATAAATTAAAGGGACACTATAGTCACCCAGACCACTTCAGCTCAATGAAGTGGTCTGGGTGCCAGGTCCCTCAGGTTTTAACCCTTCAGATGCAAACATAGCAGTTTCGGTGAAACTGCTATGTTTACATTTGGGGTTAAGCCAGCCTCTAGCGGCTGTCTTCCGGGCAGCCACCAGAGGCGCATCTGCGACGCTGGAGGCATATATCGCGCAGCGCGTCCATAGGAAAGCATTAAGAAATGCTTTCCTATTGACAGCTTGAATGCTCGCGTGGCACTTGCCGCGCATTCGCCTCAGCTGACGTCGGCGGGGGAGGAGAGGTCACCAGCGCCGAGGGAGCCCGGCGCTGGATTAAGGTAAGCTGCTGAAGGAGTTTTAACCCACGGGAGGGGGACCCTGAGGGCGGGGGCACCCTCAGGGCACTATAGTGTCAGGAAAACTGCTTTGTTTTCCTGACACTAGAGTGATCCTTTAAATTCATATTCCTTGCACAATATTTGATCAAAAGTCCACATTTAAATGTTTGTTTGTTTTTTTTTTTTTACTGACTAAAGCAATATTTTCTTTTTTATTGCAGCATACATTTTTAGAATTACTAATCTGTAAAGCTTACTGCTGTTAAAGGTCCACTATAGTCATCCAGGCCACTTCCTCTCCAGGCAATCCTAAATTATATATATTAACATAAAAGATATTGTCATAAGTAGGTTTTGATTTCCACGTCCATGGTTTACGAATATAGGTTTACTGTTTCTTTAAATGTAGGTTTGTATAAGATTTAATGTTTTTATTTTTATTTTTTTGCAGGACATGAAAGTGAATACTGCCAGCTTCATGCAGCTGTATGCTTTTTACTCTTGGCCCAATGTTGTTCTTTGTTTCTTTGGAGGATTTCTTATTGATCGTGTGTTTGGAATTAGGTAATCCTGGATTAAAATTAACATAGATATTGACTGTATAGTCTATCGGGAATTAGTTCATTAGCGCAGTGTGCTACACAGGTGTTGCTGTCCACTTGACCTACATGCTCAATTATACTTGGTGGCTGTTCCTTAAATTCTGTAATGTACAAATTGAGATACACCAAGTGTTCTATCTAGATACATATCCTTATGCGTGTTTGACTGTGCAGTGAAGTTATTATGTTGTGGTTCATGACCTTTTCTGTCTCCTTGTTTCATAGGTGGGGCACTATAATATTTAGCCTGTTTGTTTGTGCTGGGCAAGTAAGTACCATCTTATATTTCATTTTCACCATAAAATTGTGTGTTTGTGGAACTAATCTTTTAATCTGCTTCAAGTGCCAATGTCATCACAGACAGTGTAGAAGAACACGATATGCTCATACCATAATACAAATAGTTCGTACTGTTGTTTTTTTTTTTTTTTGTTTTTTTTTTTAGAAAGACATGGCAAGTTTGAAGGACTGCTAAACCTTACAAACAAACATTATTTTTAGTTTAATGGTGCAAAAATGTAGAATTACATCTCAACTGTAAAATAACTATTTTACATGAATCTAACCGAAAACGAGTAGGGTAGGTGTTTCACAACATTTTTTTTTTGTTTTCCGAAGTTCATTTCAGCTTGTTCTTGAGAAAACAAATCTTGATACATGATTCTTTTTCAAAGTTATTTTTTTTTCTCTCCTCTCCTAGGTAATATTTGCTGCAGGTGCCTTATTTAATGCCTACTGGTTGATGGAAACTGGGCGACTAGTATTTGGGTGAGTGCAGCTGTTTTAAAATAGGATCCCTTCTTTTTAGTGTTGTGGTCCTTGCAGATTTACTTGCAACTTTAGCAAGTGTTGCACAGTTACATCCCACTCACCATTAATTGTACTCTGTACTCCTTTTCAGTATTGGCGGGGAATCACTTGCTGTTGCTCAGAATACATATGCTGTCAGTTGGTTCAAAGGAAAGGAACTGAATCTGGTGTTTGGATTGCAGCTTAGTATGGCAAGAGTGGTGAGTACAGACTATTATAATGATCGCCCAGTCACGGGAACGTTACATGATGTTTGCTGTAATTTAAATATATATATATATAATTAATTCAATTGTAAACAATCAGGGTTATTTGCTAAAGGGAAAATTGTTGTGAAAGTTAATTTTAAGGCAAAAGTAACCGAACTGGAACATAGCTGACTTAGAGATTTTTTTTTTGTTTGTTTAGCTATTTTGGCCTTTTAAAATTTCCTTTCAATTTTCACTGTAGTGAATAACCCTGAATCGCCGATCCTAAGTGGAAAATAACTTTAGTACTGCAGTGTTAAGACGAAATTGGAAGTAATTTGTGTGCAAAATACATATGGAAGCAAATTGTATTCATTTTTATTTCTCTTTAGGGCAGCACTGTGAATATGAATATTATGGGGCTGGTGTATTCCCGGATAAAGGATCTCATGGGCTCTGCTGGTTATACGACACTTGGTGTGACACTCATGATTGGTAATTGCCTCTTAGTTTTTCTGCAGGAGGATGTATTTAAAAAAATATATAAAAGTAAATCTTTAAAGCATACATTTAGATGGTGGTTGTATAAGCTACAAGGAGTTGAAACAGATTAAAATATCCATTCCTGATTAGACTTCATACAGCATTCCTTCCTTACAGCTGTCTGAGTCCACATAGAGATGTAACAATATATCAAATATTTGTAGGCAGACTATCGTGTGCATTGTCTGGAATTAATTTACTGACTTGTATGAAAGCATCCATTCTTCCAATTTGTTGTAACAGAATATATTAATAACCTTTCTTCTGTTTATTTGCAGGGGGTATAACATGCCTGTTTTCTTTAGCATGTGCGTTAGTACTTGGTTATTTGGACAAACGAGCTGAGAAAATTCTGAACAAAGAGCAGGGAAAAACAGGTTTGTAATCTAGGTAACTGTTTACCAAAGGTGATATTCTGTAGGTAAATGTTATCTGAAATCCAAGCAGTGTGATTGGCTAAAATGTGACCTGTCAGGAATTCAAAGTGAATTAGACCATATTAACTGAAAAGGCATATCTGGGAATTAATTTGCTATTTATGTAATTAGGCTATGTAATGTGCAATATGAAACCTACTTGAAATTATTGACAACTCATGCTTCAGTGAATAATCTTGAAAGTAGAGCTTATCAAGGAGAGAAAACTGCTTGTGTTGTTTCTGCTTTTCAAACATGGATTCTTCTACAATTTAACACAGATCCTGAATTTTATATTTTGACCCATTGCACACATTTGGTAACACATGTTATTAAAGAACGCTAAGAGCATCATAACCACTTCAAGCTATTGTATTGGTAAGGGGGCCAGGATTGTACTGGTGTGCTCCTGGAGTTTAGAATGCTTTGACAACTTACCTGGATCCTGTGCTCTAGGATCCGAATACAGGACCGCTATCAGCTGACGATCTCAGCCAGTGACCTTAGCCCTTCTTATTTCATTGGAGCCAACTGGATACTCCTGCAAGGTTTAACAAATTATAATGGGATGTTCCCATGGCGCTTTTGCCACCATAACAGCAGCCTGTAGTTATGGTTCTTAGTGTTTCTTTAAGAACTGTTTATACATATATTTAAAGTGCACTTTTGTAAGAGCAGTGCTTGGATAAAAACTATTGCACTCATTATATATTATAGTGTGTGTGTGTGTGTAAAATATATATATATATATATATATACATATATATATATATATATATATACATATATACATATTTTTAATACAATGATAAAAAAAAATCTGCACACCAGTCAAGCCATTAGACTTGCTATTCCTAAAGAAATTACATGTTTGCAGTGAAGTTACTACTGCAAAGGATTCTGGGTGGGCATATGCAAATTAGTTCAACAAAGGGCACTTTAAATATATAGATATAGATGAATGGAAAAAGCCAGCACTCTAGGTCTTGCAAAGAAACTTCTTGTTTATTTCAGCAATCAGTCAACGTTTCAGTTCTGTTTAGAACTTTCCTAAGGACATTTCTTTTCCTCAGGACAGGATTTTTATGTCCTGAGGAAAGTTCTAAACAGAACTGAAACATTGACTGATTGCTGGAATAAACAAGAAGTTTCTTTGCAAGACCTAGAGTGCTGGCTTTTTCCATTCATCTATCTACTGTGCAGTCGAGCACCAGGCAACATTCTAAGGATAGCTGGAGTGCAAAATTATTTGGTATTGTGTGTGTGTGTGTATATATATATATGTGTATATATATATGTATATATGAAATTACATCCGTAACAGTGATCAACATTTTGACCCTGTCGGGTCTTTTTATATATGTATATGAAGATTTTGTATCTTGTTATAACTTAATTTTTTTTTTTTTTTTTGGACTAACAGAATTTTATAATATTATACCAGCTCCATGCAACTCCCACAAGGGGGCCTCAGCCCAAACGGCACTTAAGACTGGTTTCACATAGTAGTGCATATTGCATATTGTCACATCGCACCGGGTATCCTGCCCGATAATCAAATGAAACGTTTACTATTGTCATGTTTGCACAATATCTGGTTCAAGGCAGGACTCCGGACCTAACGCTTGTTTAAAAAAAAAAGTGCAACTTTCTCCACATGTCAGTGCTAAGTTTTTACTCTCCAGCAGGGAGTGTACATTTTGAGCTCCATATACACCATTAACATATATATGTAATTTCCATATTTTATGGGCTGTGTAAATGCTATAATATTGTGGCCATCAAGAATACCACAACATAACTTTTATATGTAAAAAGAAAATGCTTAATTGTCATTGGGTAACTGCAGAGTTTGAGGGGAAAAAAAAAGGTACATTATCTTATTTTGCATCTATAGCTTCATACCAAAAGCATTTTGAAACCCATTCTTCCTTTTGACTGTTGTGGTAGAGAATTTTAAGTGTGCTTTCATTCAACAGGTGAAGTCATTAAACTAACTGATGTCAAGGACTTCTCCCTCTCTCTCTGGCTGATATTTATGGTCTGCGTGTGTTACTACGTTGCTGTGTTTCCTTTTATTGGGCTTGGAAAGTAAGTATTCTGTAACTCACAACAGTAGGTATTTACTCTCTTTTTAGGAATATTGCGCTCAGGTGTGTACATGTTATATGTACTGCCTTGCTTTGAGAATCTAAATACACATGTTATATAGGCTAGTGTGGTTTACTCTACCCTAAACAAATCTAGCCACATTAATCAGCAGATTCCCTATGATGGAATTGCAGTAAAGTTTGTTCATGGTCAGATAAATAGAACTGTTCTCCTCTTCGAAATGTACTAGACTGTTAAAGGGTAACTGTCATGAAAATACAACTAAATAATAGTTAAATCTTAAATAATAGAGGATCTATCATCTGTACATTTTGCTAGCAGAATTTCCTGTCATTTCAGACTTGTACAGCAACTTGTAATTTTTTTTTTTTTTATTCTTTATTTTTTGTTGTGCATAAAGATTAACAATCATGCTTGCTATGCCACAACAGCAGATATAAACATTTCAAGAGACAGAATATTATGGCATGTGATTGAAACTGCACATTTTTTTTTTTGGAAAAGTGAGACAGGTTAAATGAAGATGTGTCAGTATATGAATATGCATAAGGGTTAATGAAAACATGCTTTTGAGCCTGACACTGAGTGAGTAAGTATAAGATAAGTTACGTGGCTAGTATGCAAGCTAGGTGAAATAATAGACGATAAACATGCTGGGCAAAATACAGGCTAATTCAAGGTTGAATTTATTCACTGTGGTCTTGGGTCCTCTTGAGTGTTGTGCTGCCCGTTAAATTCCATGGTCTCGTTTGTGTGGCATGGCAGGATCAGTGTTATTACATGGTCGTGTTGCAGTGAGTTCAGGAGGCCTTGGGTAGAGTCATTTTCATCCGATGCCGCCTTTCAGGGAACGGCAGGAGCCAGTCAGTGGGTCTTGGTGGTCTGCTGGTGTGAGTGAGAGTGTCACTCCAGACCCAGGCTGATGTGCAGGCCTGCATCTCTTGACCACAAACTCGGTCACATCTGGGATCCAGTAGTCACCTGTTGCTTGTGGTACTTATGCCTCCGTATATGTAGTCTGCAGCCCAGGTCGGCAAGGTAAAGTGGGGTCAGATGGGTCTTCCCCTCACCTCCCACTGCCTGTGGCTCCGCTCACTTGCCTGCTGTAGTTCAGGCATGTTGGTTTGGGCCACTGATTGCCGCTCCCTTAGTTTGCTCCAGCAGCGGTTGAAAATCGCCTCTAGCTGAGCGGTCTAGACTCTGTGAGAGATCCAACTGTTGCTGTTGTGTCGGTAGCATGCTCTGGTTGTGTGTTATGCTGTCAGCCGCCATCTTAGATGCGCCCTGTGAATGGCCGCAAAGGATTCTGAATGGCCGCACCTCCGCGTCTCAGATTCAGGCTTATGGTGAGGTCTTGGCTGGCTGCCTCAGATGTCTAGTGAGGACCAGGATAACCCCAGCCGGTCCATAGGGGTGGGGGGGGGGAGGGTAGGCAGTGAGTGTGCGGAGGGGTTTGTTTGAGGCTTTGCCATCGGGGATAGCGGCCACCTCACTGCGGGTAGGCCCCATTTGCTTGTGCGAGTTCCTGGGCAGTGTGTCTCTCGTTTTTGGTGTCGTTTGATTATTTTTTTTCCCCGCCAAGTCTCATGCCCTCCTGCTGGTGAGCGCTCCAATTTTTGGGGTATTTCCCTGTTTTTATGTCTCATTTGTCAGGAGCTGATTCTCGGCACGTCTTTCAAGCCCGGCAGTTAGACTCCGTTCCATTTTGGGGACTTTTAACATTTATGGGAAGCAGGTCTGTGTTTCCCAAACAGGGGTATGAAGAAGATGTGTGTCTTACTGCAAGTAACACCCATGAGAACATCACTTAATTGTATGACATGAGTCAGTTCCGATAATTAGAAAACTGCAAACCTCTGTCATGGGTTTTTGATAAGCAATTTGACGATTAGGACCATTGATCTATAAAGTTGTGTGTAATATTTGTTTTCCTTCTTTTTAGGGTCTTCTTCATTGAAAAATTCAATTTTTCACCATTACAAGCAGGTGCAATAAACAGGTACTTATTTAAAAAAAAAAAAAAAAAAAATTCGTTTTGGTTTTCCTCCTTTTTTTTTTTTTTTTCCCCTGACATTTATTCATACTCCAGAAATCTTTACCAATGTGTTGAGAATGTACCTTATGCTGCTTGCATATAATAGTCTCTATTATATTACTATTATAGATCCACCAGACACCATAACCAGCATAATCTAAATTACGTTTTTATGGTGCCAGGAGTTTGAGTGCCATCGTACTTGTGAATATGGCATGTCTGCTCTTCCTGGCAACTTCTGCCAGTAGTCTGAGGCTTCAATCAGGAGGCCCCCAGGCATGGTGCCGCTGATAGTCTGTGAATGTTAGCTGAAACTCTCAGCCTATCTATAGCTCCCCATTTAGAACACTGGGTGAAAAAGCTACGGGCAGTGCTGCTCTATTTTTCTGCTCATTTTAAATACAAAAACAAAGCAATTTTGGCTCGCAGAATTTTGATGAAGATGAAGATTTTCTTTTTGTGTGTGTTTTCTCACCAAATGTAGTGTGGTCTACATCATCTCAGCGCCTTTGTCACCTTTATTTGGTTTTATGGTTGATCGAATTGGGAAGAACATTATCTGGGTAATGTGTGCGGTGGTAGCGACACTCTGTGCCCATATGATGTTGGCCTTTACTTTCTGGAATCCTTGGATTGCTATGGTAGGTTGTCACTGATACAATAGTTCAAGACTACCATTTTCTTCGAAAGTGTAGCATATGGTTTAGCCTTGCTGACTTCTAAATACCTTGATTTGCTTATGGCTTTTAAAGTTCTTTTATCTGACTTTAGAGAAGATGCCATTTATATTTGTATATTGTAGTCAATCTGTTTTTGAAATGTGTTCATTTTTTTCACCCCTAGAGTTTACTGGGAGTTTCCTATTCTTTGTTAGCTTGCGCTCTGTGGCCCATGGTAGCTTTTGTTGTTCCAGAACATCAGCTGGGTACTGCATATGGATTGTAAGTATTACCAATCATCTTTTATTATATCTATTCATTTAAGATACTGAATATTTTCAAGGTGGATTTAGTTTTTTTTTTTTTTAATATATAATCTGACATAGGTAATTTGTCTGATTTATTTTTTATTTTTCTATCTTTCAGCATGCAGTCGATCCAGAACCTCGGTCTTGCTATTATTGCCATAGTTTCGGGTATCATACTGGACACTAGTGGATATCTCTTTCTAGAAGTTTTTTTCAGTGCCTGCATTTGTGGTAAGTCTTGCATGCATTGATTGCAGTTTATTGATAATACAAATATACTGATTGCTAGACTTTAGAAAACAAAAAATGCCTACCTTTTTCCTCTGTTGGGTTAGTGAAGGAGAAATAGTATTTGTGTATGAAATGAGTGAATTACCCATCTGGCAAAGTCTGACCACTCACTAGTCAATCTGATCACTTCTGGCCATGTATATCAGAGGACCAGAGGCTTGTGCCATTATACACTGGCTGATATCTTGATTGATTGATCAGACATTAGAGCTTTTCTAATCGTCACTAAAGGACTGGAAATCAGCAATTTTAGAAGTAGGGGATAATGGTTGATTAGTCCATCCTTACAGTTGCACTACCCAAAAAAGCCCTTGGTCTTTTGATATACAAATTAATCTGTATATTTTCAATGGATTCATAAAATAAAACTCTGAGAAAAACAAATACCTATTTTTTTCTTATTTTCCCTTCAATTATACTTTGTATGATTTTTAACACTTTTATCTTATTCTCAGTGGCCATTATAGCAGTGGTTATGCTGTATTTTGTCAACCTTGTTAGAGGTAAGAAAAAAGATTTTCTCACTTTTTGTCTGTCTGTGCGAAGAGATTTAACAATAGACTTATGTTTTTATTATGCTTTTGTAACTGGTTTCAGATTTCCATTGACATGTTGCTCGTCCACATCTGTTCCTTCGTTCACTCTTCACCATTTCTTACACTGGCTTAAAAAGCCACCACTTCCTTCTGCTGACTGACAAAAATGTACTATATCTATGTTATAAATGATTTAATAGATTCTGGTCATGGCTCAGTCTTTCTGGTGTTTATGCTGTTCCAGTGGATGACCACTGTCCTCCCAAGCACATATATAAAATCCATATTCAATAGTGGCTTGCTACATTATTTGCTTCCTGGATCTCTATGGCATCAGACTCTCCGTGATCTTAATGATCATATTTACAATGTTTCTATTGCTGAGCGGTCATAAATATTGCAAGTAGGAATGTGCATATTACCCTCAGCATTGTGATGTCTTTAAGCCCATACTGTATAATTTAGGACTCCAATAGCCTCTCATGCCATCGTTGCAAGCTGTTCTTCAAAGACCCCATGCCAGCAATATCCTACCTATTTGCCATTAGCTCTATGTAAGGTTATAACACCCAGACATCACACTCTACTTGTCATCTGGTTATTCCACTGTTCCTATTCCATTGTGTTTAGCCAGCCCTAAATTCTTTTGTTGGAAGCACGTAGACTACAGTGATTTATAGATAATGTAAATGTGTTTTGTTCTAGGTGGAGATCTCAATTTATCTTCCTGGGAGAGAGCGAAACTGCTGAAGCAAGCGGCTATTGAGTAAGTAGTTTTGTTTTATGTTTTATAATGAAAAGTGTGCATATTTGCATGTTTGTCTTGCATATCATTTGAGCCTGCTAATCTAATCTGTTTTATTAATTTGGCATATAATAGTACATGATTTGTCCTGGTGCCGAATCAAATCACGTTGCTTTACCCTTGGAATTGTGGTCTAGTTTCCCCTGTGCTTATTTCCATGCCTGTCTCCATGTAGTTCTTGGAATCCTTTGCTTTGTGCTTTTGGCTTTGACATTGCTGTTTAATAATTCTGATTTAATGAACATGTCTGATCACTTGGTGGGTAACTAGTGTTTTTAAATAAAACTAACCGGTCTGTTACTATACATAGGGCACAAGGTCATGTATTTAGACTGGAAGAAAGGAGATTTAGTCTTAGGCAAGGGAAATGTTCTTTTTTTACAGTAAGAACAATAAGGATGTGGAATCTTCTGCTTGAAGATGTGGTTTTATCAGTCTGTACAGATGTTTAAACAGCAACTGGATGAATACTTGCAAAATCATTTCAAAAATTTAAAAAAACAAAAAAATCTTTTCGACCGCAGAATGGTAGTCAAATCTTTCCTTGGACCAAGGAGCTTTTGCGCCACTAATTAAAAATATCCCTGAATATAATATCCCTGCTTTCAGTGATATAATTTTTAATTAGTGGCGCAAGAGCTCCTTGGTCCAAGGAAAGATTTGACTGCCATTCTGCGGTCGAGAAGACTTTTTTTAGTTTCTTGAAATAGTTTGTTTTAAAATTGCAAAGCGCTTCAAACTGAGTTTTCTGCCTTCTTTTGGATCAACATAAAAAACAAATGTGAGGCTGGCTGAACTTGATGGCACATGTCTATTTCCAGCCTATGTAACCATGTATGTTTAGCTAGAGATGCTAGAGATCAGGATGATGCTTTTGTAGTATTGTCTCCCAGAATCTGTACTACTTTTCTCTATTTCTGATCTAGTGTCAGCGGAGCTGAATGCGCCTGCGCGGCAAGTGCTGCGCGCGCATTCAAAGTGTCCATAGGAAAGCCTTTCTCAATGCTTTCCTATGGACGCTCTGCACGATAGAGGCATAATATGCCTCCAGCGTCGCAGATGCGCCTCTAGTGGCTCTCCGGAAGACAGCCACTAGAGGCTGGTTTAACCCCAAATGTAAACATAGCAGTTTCTCTGAAACTGCTATGTTTGCATCTGAAGGGTTAAAACCAGAGGTACCTGGCACCCAGACCACTTCATTGAGCTGAAGTGGTCTGGGTGACTATAGTGTCCCTTTAAGTCAGCATCATTTCCTGTGTGAAGTAGAAGAGCAAGTACTTTCTTTGAAACCGGAAATGGAGCTGACTTAAGCTCCTTCTTTGGTCAAAGAAAGTAAAGTGTAGTAAAAATACATCGGACAAAGTGGTCCATTTATCTTAAAACGTAAACCAGAAGTTAAAAAAAAAAAATTCTGAGAGAGGTAGAAGAAACAACAGGATTAAGGCAAGTTTGGCATGATGGTGCCGTTTCAAATAATATATTATTTAATAATAATAAGAAGTTTACAATCCTATTTAGGAGGGGACTCAAGTAGTTAAAGGGACACTCCAGACCTTTAAATCACTTTGGTTTGCTGAAAGGTTTTGTGTACAGTGTGCCCTTTATTTTAAGCAGAAAACCGGTCCTGTTACTTCCGGTTTGCTCTTGGCTCAATAGGGCTAAACTCAACGGGCAGCAATTGCCCAGATCTCCTGGCTTGGAAAGACTTCATTGAGCTGCATTGGAAAGTCTGTAATTGGACGGCATCAAAGTCTGGGCGGGGTTAGAAGGGGAGAGCTTGTAAAGGCAGCAGACAAGAGATATGCAGGTTTTACATGCTGTTTTTAGATATAACCCCAATGAAAAAAATACACAATTAAATGCACGTTTTCATTTGGGGTATATCTACAAACCAATGATTGTTTTAAAACTTATTTTGGAATTTGTACATTGGAGTGTCCCTTTAAAGGGCTGAGATGATCAGCTCATACGCCCACAGTGTATCACTGGCTAACCTTTTCTCATACAGCAGTACAGGGAGGAAGGAAGCTGGCTGGCAGCTGTGTCCAGCGTTTGTATAATCTCTGAAGTTAAGAAGGAGCCCAGACACTCTTGCCCCCCCCCCCACCCTAACCACTTAAATCTGCTTCCTGTAATCTCACATTTTCTAAATCACGGAGATACATTTATACCAAGGCTAGTATATGCAATGGCTTCTTGTTGAATGAAACATGATCTAAGATAACAGGGTGTTAAGTGGATGTCTTGCTTTCCTGTGAGGAGTTAAACATTTGCTTGTGAGCTATGATCAGATGAAAAAAAACAAAAAAAAACCTGTATGCCATATTTTGACTTTGTGGCTTTGGGTAACCCATACATTCTTTACACTGGATTTATGGAATATTTGGTTATCTGCAGTCTTCCATGTGACTTCATTAATCCACTCATTCGGATATTCAGGAAAATGCATAGTTCTCTGGGAGACCAGCTTGGTAGTTAAATTTTTATTATTTATTCTTGTCATTGAGGTCATTAACAATTTTTACAATTTAATCATTTTATTTAACAAAAATGTTTGTTACCAATTCAGTGAACATGCCAACCATATGTTATGGAAACATGTAAACAAGCTAGGGTTTATCATAGAGGGAGGAAACCCTACAAATATGTATATACAAGATGTTGAGTAAACGTTGCCTTATTTTTTTTTCTAAATTTTGGTCTAATTTTTCCCACTCTTGTCATATAAAAGCAACTCACTTGGAGTTCTTTACTAAAGTGAGAAATTACAGAAATTCTAGGTGATTTTCAAATTTAAGAAATAGTTAATGACCTGGAAGCACAGCTACTTTGGCCACAATGACTGTTGGAATTTCACTGAAATTCCAACTAAATAGTCAAAATATATACTATGACAAAGTAGTGACTACTTTCTCCTATGTATATTCTCTATGCCAGACAAAACGTAACAAAAGATGGAGCTACCGCTTCAGGTTTTGTCATTTCTGCCAAGCGCCACTAGTGACTGATGAATGAAGGCATTGTCTATGGCAGTTCCTCCATAGATCTGTTGTACTCTTGCGCATGTGCAAGAGTACAAACACTGTGTGCTCTTGGCAACTGAAGTGCCAGCAGCTGAGGAGGACTGAACTGACAAAGATGGATGTGTCCTCAAGGGACAACTTCAGGTAAGTAAGCTCATCTTTCCATGAATCCTGCAGTCAACATCGGCTTTTTTGCAAAATATGCAAATACCCCAGATGGTGAAAGAGCCACTTTACGTAAAGAATTCTGATCTTTGTCACACAAAATTTGAGAGGAACCCTATTGCAGAGCGTCTGCTAAAGGAATTCTCTAATTTTAGGAATGTGTCTATTCTCAGTCCATTAGTATATTGTTCTCAGTCTGTTAGCGGCTCCCAGTCCCAGGCTGGATTCAAGCCTTGGATTGCAATGGATGTAACCGAACAGAGCTGACTGGTTAACCCTGTGAGGAGACACTTGGAGACTTCCTCACACCACAACAACTTTATTCCGATTAAGCTATTATGGTGCTCGGAGTGTTAATCATGCTGCATGTAGGACTTTGTAGTATACTGATGTAATTCCATTGGTCATAATGTAACTGGCTTTGTTATAAAACACCTTAAATTATAGAACTGCTTATAAGCCATTCATCACTAAATATATTTCACTGTTTCTACTTGGGACAGTATGCCACAGTAATTTTCAAATATGACTGCTTCCAGGGAGTTTAATATATGGTTTTATCAGAATTGGAGCAAATGCTATGTAGGTATAAATTACTTTCTAATGTAAGATTATGGTTTAAGTAACATTATATTATATATCTATATTCCACTATAGAAGGCATAGTAAATTCAGCTTTTTAGGATGGGATGCTTGTTTCAGAATAATGCGTTTTTGGTGTAGAAGTTTTTCTAGTATGTCTACATACACCGATATCACGTTCGTTTCCTGATTTCTGACTATGCTGTTGTAATACAGAAAGTTTTAGTACCAGAATAAATTGTAATGATTAGAACAACTTCTAGAACTCCCCACCATCTGATCATCCACGATTGTGTTGACTAAATTCTTGTATGTGCTTTGCATTAACTTTTTTATTTATTTTTGCATACGCTCTTGGCGGCTGTCACCTGCTTTCCCCGCTCTGTCTTTCCATAGCAAGTGTAAAAGATGTTTTATGTAATGAATGTAAGGCCTTGTTCTTTTTCAGCTGGAATGGTCTATGTGGAGATCCATAAAGTTAGTGTATCCTATTCTTCTGTTAGAAATAAGTTTAAAAAAAAAAAAAAAGTTAATATGACCGTTTTGGTTAACAAACAACTTTAGCTTAGAGAAAGTATGAGTAGTGATGTCGCGAACCGTTCGCGAACTTGCCGCGAACGGTTCGCCACGGTTTGCCGTGAACCGTTCGCGGCGAACTCCGGTCAGCTGACACATCCCTGCCAATCTCCGGCAGACCCTCCCTCCCAGACCCTCCTACTTCCTGGACAGCATCCATGTTGAAGGCAGCTTCAACATGGATGCTGTCTGGGAGGTGGGAGGGTCTACCGGAGATTGGCAGGGATGTGTCAGCTGACCGGAGTTTGCGGCAAGTTCGCGAACGGTTCGCGACATCACTAAGTATGAGCATTTTGTATCTCCTGCACGGTTTATTGAACGTTAAAGGGACACTCTATGCAACGAAAAACAACTTTAACTTAATGAAGCAGTGTTGAGAAGAGATTTTTCCCATGCAGTCTCTCTGCTCAATTCTCTGCCATGTAGGCTTTAAATCAGTTTTGCGTCTGTCCATACAGCCCTAGTCACACCTCCTTTGGCTGTGACTCTCAAAGCTTGAATGAAAAAAAGGATTTAATTTTCAATCAGATCTTTACTTTAGAGATTTTTATCCCCTGCTCTGTAAATTGAATTTTAATGACACATGAGGCTCCTGCAGGGTCTGGAAGGCTATCAACAGAGTAGACTATAAGAAATTAAACAGACCGTAATCAAGGCAGTTTAAACATTAGATCTCTCTTTACAGTAAGTGTTAGGAAGACTGTGTAAGTCACATGCAGGGAGCTGCGACGGCGTAAGCAAAGTAATTTATGGCATTGAGCAGTGAGTCTGCAGGGGCATCATCTATCCACCAAACCTGCTTCATTCAGCTAAAGCTGTATTTGTGCCTATAGTGTCCCTTTAATCCTTCCATGTGAAACATTGTCATTTTTGTAGCAACTGCAATGTTTCCATTGCAGGGTTAAATACAATTCTAGTAGCTGTCATGGGTGCCAAGTCCTCCAGAATCAAGTGAAACTACAATCTGGTATTAAATGGTATTATAGCAGCATTTGATTGGAGAACTGTGGTGTTTGGCCGCTCATTCGTATCTCCAGTTTAGTGCTTCTCTATGAGGATAAGCATTTTGGATAATTCCAGCAGACATGCTGACGTCTTTCAAGCCAGAGGGGGCAGCTGCAGTGGCAGAGTGTCTGCGCTGGAAACAATGTAAGTAATCATGTAAAGGGACACTTCAGACCTCATAATTATAGTGTATACATATTTTCATTGGGGGAATATCTAACAAACACGGATTTATTTTATTTATTTTTTGTGGGGTGTTTGGCAGCAGAGTGTCCCTTTAACTTTTTTCTACTAGCAAAGGGAGATGGACAAAAGGGAACTTGTGGTCTAAAAGGGACTTCTAGATGCTTGTGGCTCTCTAACTTTCTGATGTGTGCAGCTGCAGTCCACTGGTGGAAGCTCAATATTGGTGTAAACAATCCTTCTATTTTTTCATGTAGCCAAAATACGAAATGGATAGTGTTGGCTTATCCTATTGGTTTATTCACTAAAGTCCTAGTTGTAGGAAACTGTAGGAAATCAAAGCTAAAATAAAGGAAAAAAATCTCCAATTCTGCTTTATAGTCACAGCTTAGCGATTTAAAGGACCACTATAGTGCCAGGAAAACATACTCGGTTTCCTGTCACTATAGTGCCCTGAGGGTGCCCCCACCCTCAGGGTCTCCCTCCCGCCCGGCTCTGGAAGGGGGAAAGGGGTAAAAACTTACCTTTTTCCGGCGCTGGGCGGAGAGCTCTCCTCCTCCGATTCTCCTCCCCGTCGGCTGAATGCGCACGCGCGGCAAGAGCTGCGCGCGCATTCAGCCGGTCACATAGGAAAGCATTATCAATGCTTTCCTAAGGACGCTGGCGTGCTCTCACTGTGAAAATCACAGTGAGAAGCATGCAAGCGCCTCTAGCGGCTGTCAATGAGACAGCCGCTAGAGGAAATAGGGGAAGGCTTAACCCATTCATAAACTAGCAGTTTCTCTGAAACTGCTATGATTATTATAAAATGGGTTAACCCTAGCTGGACCTGGCACCCAGACCACTTCATTAAGCTGAAGTGGTCTGGGTGCCTAGAGTGGTCCTTTAAGCTTTAATGGTGCCATTTCAATGTCACATGTGAACTTCAGTGAATAAACTCTTTAGGAATTACTTCTGAAACAATATTTCTTCCATGTAGACTTTGTAAATATATAGATCAGAAACACTGCAACCTTGTACATCAGAAAGAAGCCAGGAAAATCAAATGGAGCATTTACTTATTAAAGTGTTGGTTGCTTTGTCATTTATAGACTTAAAGAGGCACTCCAGGCAGCAAAACAACTTCATCTAACCAAAGTTCTTAGGTGCCAGGAGGGCCCCAGATGCACTCCCTCCTTACCTTACGAATAGTTTAACCCCAATGTTGCCGCAAGTGCCAATATCATCTCCACAGAGGACTGTTAGCCAGTATTAAAAGGCATAAGCCATTTTAAGATCTTTTAAAATGGCTATGACTGTTGTAATGTAGCATATATTAAAGGAACACTAAACAGTCAGAAATGATTCTCAGCGGGTGGGAGCAGACCCAAACGCTGCCATAGCTAATCAGCGTTTCTTCATAGAAATGCGTTGAATCAGTGCATGTCTATGGGGAATGTACAGCATCTCCATGCAGAGTGTGACGACGCTGAACATCAGTGCTCCACATTGTGCAACACTGACCCATGAAGCACCTCTAGTGTCCGTCTAAGTGTTGGCCACTAGAGACCTTTCCAGACTGTAATGTAAACACTGCCTTTCTCTGAAAAGGCAGTGTTTACATGAAAATACCTGAAGGGATTGATTATACTCATCAGAACAACTACGTTAAGCTGAAGTTGTTCTGGTGCCTATAGTATCCCTTTAACATACACTTTGATTCATCATAGTGGAACCTCACACTAGTTATCATTTAAATGTGCTTTAATAGGTATAAGGGATGTACATTTAAGTTAAAAAATAAATATACATTTATATATGTATGTCTCTTAATGCAAATTGTTCTGTTATCTAGATTAGTGTCTATAGAAGTACAAGTTATAACTTTTATATTTCACAACAATGTTTTGCAGAGATGAAATTTGAATAGCAAATGTCTCCCTCAAGTATGCAGAATACGGTCAACAACATGTCAACTCGAAGAGTCTTAATGTCTTCTGAGCTTGATTACAAATAGCTATATGCATGTTTAACAACCTGTTTTAAACTACTTGTACAGTAAGACTGTATTGTGGCTGTTGGTAATTAAGGACCTTTCGGTACAATAATCATGCATCTTTTTTATTTTATGTATTTTATTTTTTTTGTCAATGACATGATAGTAATGAAGGATATTTTGGTACATAACCGCATATGTAATTTTATATAGAAGGATTATGAAAACAAAAAATATATTTCTAGAATCTACACATTTGAGGTAGTTCTTATGTTTGTCTTTAACTTGATCATGTAATAGTTTTCATTACTTATCTATTTTCTGTGTAATAGAGAATTGTTTCCGATTTTATAGCACTTGACTTTGAAGAAAAACATTACTAATTTAGACTGCAGCTTTAATTTGTGAAAATGATATATTTTTGTTTTAAGCCTGCTATAAGGATTGTAATTCTGTCTTGCACGTAACTGCTTTGTTGGGGGTTGATTTTTATATATTTCTGGAGGGCTTTAGTTACTGATCAGAGTCCTCTGTCTGCTTTGATAGCAGAGTGCAGTGTTCGTAGTATCCGTATTGTTTAACACACTGTATTCCGGCAAAGCAAAAACAAGCCATTTAAAAAAAATAAAAAAATTTTTAGAACAAAAGGTTACTCGTACCTTAAGGGTATTGGTTAGTTTTTTAAGCGCTCTGTCCCTTTATGAGGTCTTTGCATATTTTGCAAAGACTCTAGATAGTGACTGCTCTGCTTGCCTTTCAGCTTGCGGGGTTGGGGGAGGGGGTCCTTTTTTTTGTCTTAATAAATCCCAAAGTTATCTATCAGCCGCACTTATAGGTGATTGAAAATGTTACAACTTTTTCCCCCTGCTTTTTCCTTTTATATTTGTAAGCACTTATTTTCTTTTCTTTCTCTCCAAATGTATCTCTAAAATGCAATTACTATTTTGCACTTTAGTTTACCATGTACATTTGTTTCAATTGTTTAAAGGAAAACCATTTGGCCATTTCCATATATTCTTTATTATGCACTTAGCTATTGATTGTGTTCTTGCAGTTTTTGTATAGAATGATGGAATTACACAGAGACCTCTAGCAACTATGTTGTAAATTCTGTGTTTAAAAGTAGGGGGAGGGGGGATTAAAACAAACTATTTTGGATCGGATGTTTTAGAATTGACAATAAAAACACTTCATGTGCCTGAGGCATACACACAAATGTATAGTATTAATGTAGTTTGAGCTAAAATAATAAATATTGCTCTACCTTTTTATCAGTTTTACTGTCACAAGCATGTCACAAAGACACATCCTGTCCTTCTAACCCTCTAACAGATTATGTAACATATTGCTTACTTCAGATACCCATTGTTTTTTCTCTTCTCAAATTATGCAATTTTGTGCATTTTTGGAGATGTTACTGGGGGACTTGTAATTTAGACTTTGGTTTTTCCATTTGTTTTACCTATACCTGTCTCTAATAAGGCGATGTTCTATAAAACTATATACGGAAACGTGGTTATCCAAAAGCTTACCAGCAAGAACAAAGGTTAGAGACCTTTATTTCGGGTTATAAGGATACATGTTGTCCCATAATTTAGCCATTCTGTTAGAACGTGCAAAATGCTGGGTGATTTTAATATGAAACAGGTTCCTTTTGCATCATAGAGAGTATTAGTTCACTGTGTCGTGCCTAAAGAGATCATAAAGGGAAAAGTAAACTCTTGTGTGTGACACAATACTAATGCCGTGACATATTTTATCTTGATTTTATGGTTTTGTTAGTCTGAATGAATGATTTGTGTCATATATTCTGTTTTGCGGAGCAAGTATTCTGTTTTGCTTTTGATATTACACCTGCTGGTTATGACATTTCTTACTTGCTGTTATTTGATATGTACATTTAGGAATAATGACTTTTTCCCCAATGAAGTTCCCTTCATATAAGGTACTTACTTGTTCCTGGCTTAGATCCTTTTGATATGGTCGATTCCAGGTATAAATAACCATTCGCATAACATATGGTTTCTTTTTTTATATGCCGTGAAAGAAATGGAAGCGCTGCAACTCCAAGTCAGTTTAATGATTCTTTAAATACATCCAAATATTGACCTGCCAAGACCATTAATATTGAAACATCGAATGGTCTACATTTGGATGTGCTACATCTTCTACATTGAATTAAAGTTGCAGTGTTTCTATTTCCTCATGACTCAGTGGTTGTGATCTAAAGTATGTAGTCCTTTAATACTGTTGATACACCATGAGACGAGTAGCAGTCCTGTGTTCACTGTCTTCATATATATATTGTGTGTGTATATGCTATGGCTTGGGTGACCACTAAAGGTATGGCCTGCCCACTGTCATTGGATCTGAATAACAAATCATGTTTTCATTAGGTCCTAAAAGTTGCACAAATGGCTCTGTCATATAATCTGTTAAAATGACTTCCATGATGGTAATGATCAGGTAACAAAATGATTTCAGAACAGTATAGCCATCCAGTCTGCTGAGTAAATCCCACTGGTAAAAAATATGGTCTAATTTGTATGGTTGTTCTGGCTTATACAGTTTGTTTTCCTGTTGACTGCAATGTCTGGCTTAATACACCGCTTGGGTCATCTATTTGGTTTATGACACTCGTGTTTGTTTTAGTATTTGTTTTCTTTTCTTTTTTTAATTTTTATTATAATGATTTGCTCAGGGATAGTTTTCATGTGACCTGGCACCTTGAAGCATGTAATTGAATGCAGATACGCATGTCCTTTACCTAACTTGACATAGATAAATTGTGCTACATTTTAAACCATTTTGGAGAGTAGACATTTAGTAGTTTTTCTGAAAGAGTTGTCTGAAATTTAATGAACCATGCATTTAAATCTAAAATTTACAGTATTTGTCTTTTGAACTGTTAAAAAGCACTTAATGTCTCAACAAATGTTGTCACTTTGTTTTATAAAAGTAATCTACTACAAAAATGTACTGTTTTTGTTAGTCTTTCACTGTTAACTTTTTATGACATAGTGATTATATTACATTTTTATTGATCCTGTTTCCTGGACTTTAATCTAAAAAAAAATAATAAATTACTAAATAAAAACTTGGTGAAATAAATTATTTGTTGTGTGTTTTGTTGATCTTTCTTCTTAGTAACCGTCAGTTTTAATAATTTCTTGTTTGGTTTGTCGGTGGTTTTTATTGGACAGTGACGCTTTTTTGAGAAGTTCAATCCATTGAATGTGATTTTATTTTTTAAAAAAAATTTTTTCTGTATTCACAGGGCTGAGAAGGACAGGCTGCGACGTGAAAGTGTTGACTGGAATAGGATTCGTCCAATGTCTGCCTTTGCTGTGAGAGTTAGATATCTTTCCAGGCTTGGAGCAAAGGTATTTATAAAAACAGAGACTTTTAAAATATATTCAGGGTTATTCACTAAAGTAAGAATTCAAAGTCAATTTCAAATTTAGGGTCCAAATAACCAAAATGGAAATATTCTCTTATTCAGTTATGCTTTCAGTTTGGCTACTCTGAACTTACAATGCAAGCAGAATCAGCTCATACCTCTCCCAAGCCAGGAAGAGGCTTCTTCAACCAGTGGCCTTTTATTCTGACTTTTTTTCTTTTCTTTGAGGAGATTGAGAGGGATAAGTTGTTTATGTTCCTTGTACAACTTGGGTGGGTCTTGGATGTTGAAGGAGGAAGTAACATTCTTTATTTGATGTTGCTGGGAGAGGGATGGGCAATGTTAGAGTTGCAGCTATATTTACAAATAGACATCGAAATGCTAGACGCACTAAAATAGTGTGAGTAAGGGACAAAATGAGAAAACAATCCCTCGCCACCCAAATCGCTAGTATATTACAAAAACCTAGTGGTTTAAGTAAAGATTATTGATGCAGCTTCACACCTGTGTGTTGGACCCTCTCACCAGCACCATCAAAATTACCAGTGCTGTCAGTCATTGTTATAAGCTATGTCCTTTGCACCTGGCAGTCAGCTCAGTGAAACATACAGCAGTGGAGCGCCAACTTCAAATTTTCTTTGAATATCTGGTTTAGATGCCAGTAGGTGTGTATGCAGCCGGACGCTGCTACTCACAAGTGTTTTGTTTCCCTGTGGAACAATATCTGCGTGCTGGACAAGTGCAGGCTCCAACCGATTGATCGTCTAGCTAGTTGGGAGAATATACCGCCGTTACTCCGATATTGACCTTATGGCGTCACTATGTCTATGCGTTTCGCAGTAGGCTTCCTTAGGACGTCCAGATCACGTTCAGATCTTAAAATAATTGCAAAAATAAATGTTCCTGAGGACATACTATTATCTTAAAGGACCACTATAGTGCCAAGAAAACAAACTTGTTTTCCTGGCACTATAGTATTAATAGGTCCCCTGCTGCTGCCGGGCTGAAGTGGGAGGAAGGGGTTAAAAATCTTACCTTTCTCCAGCGCCGGGCTCCCTTGGCGCTGGGGACTCTCCTCTTCCTTCCAACGTCATCAGCTGAATGTGCATGCACGGCAAGAGCCGCGCGCGCATTCAGTGAGTCCATAGGAAAGCATATGGACGCTGGCGTCTTCTCACTGTGAAAATCACAGTGAGAAGCGCGGAAGCACCTCTAGCGGCTGTCAATGAGACAGCCACTAGAGGCTGGATTAACCCTATTGTAAACATAGCAGTTTCTCTGAAACTGCTATGTTTACAGCAGTCAGGGTTATCCCTTGATGGACCTGGCACCCAGACCACTTCATTGAGCTGAAATGGTCTGGGTGCCTATAGCGGTCCTTTAATATTAAAGTAGAACTTGAAATACCTGCATACTTAATTATATTAATCTTTGAATTTTGCACATTTCCCTTTTTAATACATTTTACTTTTTAAATTTAAGTAAAAAAGCAAATGTAAAGTATTATTTATATTGTACAGAAACAAAGCTTGTTTTTCTTGCAATATGTGCAGTTTGACTTTATTCTCCCGCATTTTGCACAAGGTGTTTTTCAGTGTAAAGCACGGTTTAGGCCTTGTCTTTATTTTTGTTTTTTGCTTCCCAAGCAGTACCAAGCCTCAGTAAGCAAACCAGTAACCAACCTCATGCTGATGATTTGCATTAACAACTAAACAGCTATCCATGAGTGGTTCACTGGCTTTGCATCTTTTCCCAAGTTGTGTTTCAAAGCTGTTGAATACAGCAAACACAGACTCAAAGGAATCCATGTTTAAAATGGAATGAGGCAAAAATAGGATTCTTTGTGAAACTAATTTTCATTTGCCCACCCAGAATCCTTTGCGGTAGTAACATCACTGCAGATTCGTGATTTTTGTGGGAAAGGCAAGTCTTATGGCTTGACTGATGTGCAGATTTTTTACATTGTATTAACTATCCACAGACTTCAGGTGGAAGGCGTTTTCAATCACAATTTTTTTTCCCCCACCATTGCCTTTTTGGTTTTTAAATTAAGCATATATTAAATGTGTTACTCTTTAAATAAAAGGAATAGAACTGTGTGATCAGGGAAAGATGAAACAGGATAGACTTTGCTTCCAGCAATTCTGGTATTGTAGCTTACAGATTACTTGCTCTCGCCTATATATCCTTGACCCTTTTTGTTACCAAAGTGTTTTGCTCTTAGAAGGGAAGCTCCTGGGAAACACATCTATAAATGGCTGACCTGCATTATGATTTTGTGCCCCATTATGTGTAATTGCTTTATTACTAAAGACTTTCCTTTTCAAAGGGATCTAGAACACACAGAGATGGCTATGACCTTTCAAAACAGAATTTAGTTTAACAGAAACAAGGCATTTAGTGACTTCTCTAATAGAGAGAATATGGAGCATTTTCAGCAAACTATTTATCTTCTCTGGTATTAGAGTACGGTGTAGAGTGTCTGGAATAAGAAGTGAATTTAAAATTTAGGCAAAAATAACCGAACTGGAACAATTTTTAGTTGTGTTTTTTTTTTTTTTTTTATGTTTTTAAATTCACCTTTTTTCACTTTAGTGAATTTCCTTACCAAACCGTTTTATTCACAAGTGTAATGTGAATGTATAAAACACACTATTATTTTTCCATATTTTCTGCAGATCTACTAAACATTTACTATTTACATAAAGGACAAATACGCAGAGATATATAACAACTAGTTTTGTGGTAATTATAGGTAGGTTAATGTATTAATGGGACACTATAGGCACCTAGACCACTTCATCTCATTGAGGTGGTCTGGGTGCACTGTCCCTGTCTAACCCTATAATCTAAAACATCAGAGAAACTGCAATGTTTGCATTGCAGGGTTTAGTCCAATTCTAGTGGCTGTCTAATACATTAGGGAGAGAGACACTATTGCACTAGGAATACAAGTTTGTATTTCTAATTCTGTAGTGTTTTCCAAAAATGCAAAATTGCCAGGTTTTGAACAAAAAGGATATATTCATACATATATTTTATAAAACGCCTGTTCTTGTTTATTCTTACTAAAGATTAATATTATTTCCTTTTCCTCCGTAGCTGCCGGACCATTTAACCAGCTATCAATCGGCACTGAGCCACAGGAGTGTTCTGAAATAATGTTTTACCCAGGGAATGGTACTCATCGATGTCATATGGTTTACATAGCACATGGTTTTTCGAAACCTCCTATCTTGCACATGGGGTTTATATCAAATCATGTGTATACTCTGTGTCCACTATTCTACACAATACAAATCATGTGAAGAAATTTGGTAGATTTGTAAGTTGAATATTATTTTTTTATCTATGGCAAATTGCACTACGACATTTAATATTACCTTTTTAAGCTGTTTTCTGTTGGTAGCTTCACCTTGGATGTGTGATGCCGTTGTGTAGCAATATTAACATTCTAATCTAAAATCCAACCATTTCATTGTCATGTTATAACACATTGGAAATCCAATAGTGTAAAAAAATTTAAAAAAAATTCTTATAGGGATAAACCAGATGTTAGATTTTAAGAATCTGTTACTCTGAGTTACCAATTGCAATAGAATAATCTAAAGTTATAAGCTAGACACTATATGGTAAATATTGTATTAAAACTGAAATGTCTTAAAAAATGCAAATAGGCAAAAATAGTATAAATGCTTATATATAATGCTTAAATCGAATTACCCGGGGTCTGAGCAGAACTTGGTCATTGAGTAGGACACATGCCTTTAAAGTGGACTCGTCACTTCCCATGTTTATATAATGTTATGTTTACTTGTCCCTATATATAATAAATATGTATGTGAGGTGTAAAAATTAAATATAGATATCCCCACCTCTTTATCCGGCTATTGGGTGCCTCTATCATAGCTGCATGTCAGTCATTGTTATAAGCGATGTCCTTTGCACCTGGCAGTCAGCTTAGTGAAACATACAGAGAAGATGAGAAATTAAACAATATTTCTGTTTCACCTCTTCATTGCCTTGTCTGAATGGGATTATGACATCCTTTGCTAAATCTATAATATAAAAAAAAAAAAGTTTACACAAGCTATGGGTGATTTTTAATATTTTATTTAATGGTGTAAAATTCAGAGAAGCTGCAGTTCCTCTTTAACACCCCTTTTAAATGAAGAATTAAAAGGCACCTATAGAACCAGGAAAACAAACGCGTTTTCCTGGCACTATAGGGTTAATAGGTCCCTCTCCCGCTGGGCTGAAGGTGTTAAAACTCTTTCAGCCACTTACCGTAATCCATCGCAGGGTTCCCTCGACGCCGGTGACCTCTCCTCCCCCCCGCCTTTGTCAGTGGAGCTGCATTCAGTTGCAGGATTAAAATTAGGGGGACCTAGCACTCAGACCACTTCATTGAGCTGGAGTGGTCTGGGTGCCTTTAGTGGTCCTTTAAATGAAGGATGTTACCCACATGTGAGCTCAATTTTAATTTTTTTGTGTGTGTGCAAATCCTCAGGCTTTGCAGGTTCTGCAGTGAGCTCTGGCCAAACCAGGAAGTAAATCATAATGCTTGCCTTAATTTCTATGGCAATACTGAGCTTATCCCATAAACCCTTGACAGGAAAGTTTTCTGGCCATAGAAGCCATTTGTGGCAGTAGTTCAGTAGTTTTTCTATTGTAAAAATCTGACCGCTAAACAATACCTCCCAGGATAGTACAAATACATACATGGTTTAGGTAAGTGTAGCTTCCCATTCTTACATATTCCAGAGTGATTGGCAGATACACGTTTGTCAATTTGGGTTTCATTTCTTTTTTAGGGGGTTTCCTATAAAATGTTATATAGTCGAATATAGTTTCAGTCCTGGTTTTGTATTGCCAATGTATTAAATGCCAAAGTATTTTTCTTTAGTAAGATGTATCAGTAATACGCAAATATTCAACCTGGAATGGCATACAAGTTATCTGCAAAACTTTGGTGTTGAAAGAGCTTGTAATGTTTGTCTATTTAGATATACGAAAGGAATGGTAAAGCTTAATATCGATAATATTTTGTATGTAATAACACAGACTCAACTAGTATATTTGTCTGAAAAACTTTTGGGGTTAGTGATTGCTACAAATGACTATTAGGAAGCTCTGTTTTCGTTGGAAGTTAAGGAGAGCTTCAGAGAGTAGTTAGAAAATTTGACCCTTCTTTATATTAAGCCTGCGCTCTCGTTGGTCTTTGAATGGTGCAAGATTTAAAACAAAAAAATACATTTTTTATTTTATTTTTTTGTATTCCAGTGCCTTATGATGATGATGATGATTATGATAAAACAATTGATGGTAGCATAATGGGATAATGAACATGATTTCAGCAAGCCTAGTTTACCAACTATACTCGGAGTTGAAGTATGTGTAAGGGCTCTGCTTCTACATTACATTATTTTTATTTTTTTTATTATATATATCCTGTACCACACACAGACAATCCCTCCTCCAAATAAAAATATTGCTGCTTTGTTTTGTATGTGCCATGATTTTTCATGTGGAATGGGGTTTTCTTTATTGTTCTAAATTCAGGTATTAGCATATTTAGAAATGGTTTTGGTTAAAAAGGTCAGGTGCACGTGCTGTGACTTACACGGTGATGCACCTTATATTAATGTGCCAAAGTCGTTTGCTGCCAAAGAAACTTTGTATGCTGGATTTATTGTAGGTCAGATAAATTGTAATCACTTCTTACATGTTTTTGTTATGATTTTAGTACAAAATACCAAATGTGAAAAAGTTTTGTATGAAAAAATTGCACACTGTATTATTACACTAATTGTACTTTTGTGATTGTCATTTTTTTTGTAGCAGGGCTTGTCCTTATTTAAGCTTGTGAAATAGAGGTAGTAACTACAGGTTTAACATGTGCTAAAACCAACAAATTACCTTAAAGTACAGATTATTTATATGTTTATTCCAAAAATTTAATCTGGATTTTACCTTTATTTTTATTTATTTTTCTTATCTATTCTCGGAACACTCAGATCCAAAACGGCGGGTCAGTAATGGCATTATAAAACACTGCAAACATACTGTGTATCCTTCTAAACACAATGTAATAAATTTAAATGTCAAGTGTGTCGCATATTTGCTTTATAGTGACCCAATAAGCTGTATTGCTCAACATCTGATGAAATGAACCCATAATCTTCTTTACGGATAATTGAGTCATGCTGCTTGCAATTGAATGTTTCTGGTACATTGGTTTGTTGAGTGTGTTCTTTGAAGTATTTCGTTTGTTTGTTAGGTTTCTATGTAATGTGTTTCACCAACATAATGAGACTGGTATATACTTGGTTTGTATGAATTTAAAAAAAAAAATTAAAAAAAAAAATTTATGTATCTTTTGAATTATTAAATGATAATGTTTTCATGTTTTTTTTAATATGATTAAATGGAAGAACAAAGATGTGACTAAATAAAAAAATAAAAAAAATTCTATTATGTTTGAAGTTAAACACTATCAGAAACACTGTTTGGATTCAATTATTGGAAAACTGGAGATTTAAGAAAGTTGTTTATTTTTGTTTTTTTTACTCAGACAAAATGACATGTCGAACAATAAATAAAAATACTTTTCAAACTTAAGCATTGGTTTTCCATTTTAACTACATATACACACTGCTTCCCCTCCAATCTTTGTTTTAGGAGAGCGATCCCTTTTTACCTATTTAAAATTTGCCGCGCATCTTATCCCATCATGCAATGTACAAAGGGCATAAAACACCCATAATCTAGTAAACATGACATGGATGCCGTTTTGCTTTTATGGGGTATGAGGAGTATCTTATGCCTTTATGTGAAGCTCCTATTCTTTACTTTGTGACTTTTATACTCCCGTTTTACTTTTTTTTTTTTTTTTTTTTACAACTTAGAAAATGCCAGATACATGATTACAGGGGTCTGCATCTAAATAAAATGACCCAAGATAAAACTTTTATAATTTTACATAATATGCAACAAAACCATTTTCTATTTTATCACAACTAGCTAACTGGGTATATTTCTTTTGGTGATCTTGTATATTTAATTTTTGTATGATCTCACATCACACAGTGGTAAATGTGCGTCATACACTATATCAAAAAACAAATGCAGCAAACATTCTATTGTATAGACAATGTGGGAGGAATTTGACCATAAGAATCTGAGCTCATGAGCCATCTATTACTACAGTGATGCAAAGTGCCTGACCTCCTAAGTATAACAGCAAGAGATATGTGTGGTGATTGGATATCCCATGTTATTCTAAAATGTCATATCTGTGTTTAGCCTAGATGACAAACAGGCTAGTCATAGGTACGTTGGAGTGCTATGGTGAAAGGCAAAGTGAAATAACATAGGTGGCATTAATAATATTGTGAAGTGGACATCAGCCAGCTAGGCTCCCAGGAACATTTTGTTAGAGGTGACAGGTGATATTCTTGGGCCGCCAGCTGGTGTAAACTGAGCAACCCCCTTCACATCCCAGCACTAGAAGGAGCTGCAATAGGTTGTAATTCAACTGCATATGGACGATGCCAAGGTTCTGTAATAAGGCAGCAAATTACTTGGCCTCTGTAAGCTTGAAGGGTGTTCGCTATCTTTAGGAGTATAAGGCAGGGCTTGACAAATTTGCTTTCAGTCGAGGAGCTAGCTTAAAAATAAATAAATTAGGAGCCAGTTTTTTTTGTTAAACGTCAAAAATACAATTCTTAAAGTAACCATATAGTCACCAGAAACACTGCAGCTTACAGTAATTTAGTGACTCTGGTGTCTATAACCTACCCCTGTAGGTTTTTCAATGTAAGCTCTGCTTTTTCAGAGAAGAGGCAGTGTTTACCTTGCTACCTAGTAACTCTTCTAGTGGCAGTCACTCAAACGGCCACTAAAGTGTCTCCTATCTCAGTGCTGCACATTGTGCAGCACCTACATTCATCATGGAGGCGGCGCTGAACGTTCCCCATAGAGATGCATTGCTTTAATGCTTCACTATGAGAAGATGTTGATTGGCAATAATCAAAGATATGGAGGTGGGCAAGCTGCAGCGAGACTGGCACGGTGTTGGAAAACAGGTGAGTAAAAACACCATTCCAATGTGATCAGAGGATAGACATAGACACACACACACACACTGACACACACTTCTTCTCACACAAGATATTTATTATTTGATACACACACAAAGAATCATAGGTGCGTGCATGCATCACACACACACACACACACACACACACACACACACACAAAAGTGAATACATATTTTTAGCCACTCTCCTGTTTCCTACCTTTTGGGGCAGGAGAGTGGCTTCCCTGGGGTCCAGTGGGACTGGGCACAGCAGCAGACATTAGATTGGTGGGGCTGGCTGTGGCTAATAGGAGTGGGCTGCCACTGGTCAAGACTCCTCTCCTCCACCTGTCTTTATCACATGCAGCTCACTGTGCGCCAGGAAGGGGTCTGCAATTACTTCCGCCCGGATGCCTCCAACCTTGTTTTTGAAATGTCTTCTTGGGTCAACAGTTTCAGCAACAGCTCATAATCTTTTTGCTGCATTGAGTAGTTAGAATAGGGGTCTGCAGGGATCTTACATCATGGGAGTTTTTTTTTCTCCAGGGCCATTATCTATTAAGGTATGAATGTGCTCCCTGATAACTGCTCGGTTTGCATGAAAAGTTGCTTGATAGCTTGTACTAAAGATTTAATATCCTTTATGACTGGTGTATCTTCATCGGAAGACCAGAGGTGTAATCCATTTTTAGTTTTTTCTCCTTCTGTTTTCTTTTTTTTGTCTTTCCTTTGTCAACTATTGTGGCTAGGACTTACTCTAGGATAAGTACATCCACATATAGTGGGTAAAATCAGTTTGTTTGTTTTTTTCCTTTTTTTTTTTTTTTCTGCTTTATTATGACAGAAAGAAATGTCTGCACTGTAGGACTGTTGCTCATATCTCCAAAGAAACACTTTCATACATAACTCCTCATTGCATGTACCTAGCTGACGTTGGCACTATGGCAATGCATTTTATGAGATTTCATTATGCATTGTACAGCTAATAAAATCTAGGCTCACAGTGTCAAAAATCCTTCACTGCAGGTAACCTAATGAAATTGAAGGACCACTACCCACGCACAAATCACTTCAGGTACTTAAAATCCTACATGTGCATGGAGTATATCCCATTTTAATGGTAGGTTATGAAAGTGTTGATTTATTATAATTATAGAAGTTTACTTTTAGACAGCCAGGCTGGGTTTCTTTTCCGCAGAGGCCTGAGCACTCTGGCAAATCGCTCAGGGCCTGCCCCTGGAATAAGAACTGAATTTTCCTTTAGGTCCTGTTAATTAAGTGCTCAGCTCTGTTCTTATGCAGGCTTTGTAGTGCGGCTGACTTAAGGCAGCCTGAGGGGGCGGGGACATCCCACACAGCTCGGCATGCACTGCAATGTTGGACAGATCAATGATGACCCACACTCTGGATGGGCCCATTAGGTGTCCTAATGCAGTTAGGGCCACCTGATGGGTATAAGTGAACAGCGGCCTGGTTAGGCACCTATAATATCGACAACATGGGAGGAAGCAACAACTTCCTATGAGACATATCGTGCTGCGCGGGCGGGAAGTAAGACGCAGGCAGGAGCTGCTGAAAACCCTGCCACACATCATCCTCAGCCAGCAGCAACCCAAGCAAGTCATCCTCTTGCAGACAAAAGGTATGCTATCAGGAGGGTGACTGCAAATACACAAATTGTGACGTGGGTTTGTATGTGTCAGTGTGTGAATCTGTGTTTTTGTCCAAGAGTGTATCTGTGTGTTAATGGAAAATTGAGAAACCAGAAATGAAAAATAAAAATTACACACACTTGCATCACACAACTCTGCTCTTCGAGTATACAAAGAACACTCAGACTCACACACTCATTAATGCACTTCACAGATACAAATAACACCCATACAATATCAGCATTAATGCTCTTCACAAATAAACTCCTGCATTCACACACAAAAACTGAAAGACTAATCAAATAACTGCTAAAATACACTCATGCATTTGCATGCACTGACCTAACATAGAAATATACCCCTACCTTTAAACAAACTGATAATGTTTTTGAACTATACCCGAGTAGTGATGTCCCGAACGGTTCGCCGCGGACTCATCATTGAGTAAACTTTGATCCTGTACCTCACAGTCAGCAGACACATTCCAGCCAATCAGCAGCAGACCCTCCCTCCCAGCCCCTCCCACCTCCTGGACAGCTCCCTAAGAATGCAGCTTCAAAATGCATGCTGTCCATGAGGTGGGAGGGTCTGCTGCTGATTGGCTGGAATGTGTCTGCTGACTGTGAGGTATAGGGTCAAAGTTTACTCAATGATGAGTTCGTGGCGAACCGTTCGGCACATCACTATACCCGAGCACTCTCTTGCATACTTCATACATTACACAACCCTTGGTCCACACACTGAGACACTCAGCATTTGCATACATTACACACAAATAGACAATTTTGCACACAAAAGCATTCTTGCATTCACCCACTCAAATGTGTTATTGAATTCATACATACAGATATTACAAACAAATGCACACATATATTTACAGTAATAGGTTATGCATATACATAAATATATCGGAGTGGTACTAGATAAAAAAAAAAAAAAAACAAGCACACACAATATACACAAACATGCTTTCATACACGTTTCTTTTACACTATATGTACACACAAAGTTTATTCAGTAAACTTTACAAAAATTGCACATTGTAGGCCAAATTTAGAAACCTTTTACAACTCAAATATTTTTTAGCCTGTGTATTTTGCCCTGAATTTGAAATTTCATTGTTTGTTCTCCAATTTTCCATATTTTGTGTAAAAGCAACTATTACTATATTTGTACGTGTGTATATTGGACAAGGGGGCCAAGGAACAAAGTTTGTCTGTGAGCTCCGATGGCTGTCAGCCCATCCCTGTCTTTCAGTTAGTTCCATTGAGGTAACGGAAGTGACTGGCACATTCTGCTAGAGTGTGCTTGCATTCTTTTACAAGTGCCACTAACCCTGCATCCACAGGACTCCATTTTACCTGTCCTCCATGGCTTTAGCTGTACTTACCTGTGCCATGAGCCAGCCGGGGTCCTCCGCTCAAACAGCGCTCTGCTCGAGCACTCCTGCATCCACACAAGCCGCGCACGGCTCTATCACTGTGCGTTTTGAGGAGGCCTAAAAGAACTGTCGTGCGGTCCACCATGTGTAATTGAGGGGTGCAGGCACGCTCTTAGAAGGGAAATAGGAGCCCCAAGTAGTTTCTGGCTCCTATTGGTCTGCGTCAGTCCGCCTTCATTGTACACACACGCTTTGGGGACACAGGCATGACGTGAACCAATCTTAAGTTACTGTTAGGGTATTTAAACCTCCCTAGCCCTTTACTCTTTTTGTATTCTGGTATTGATCTTGGCTTTTTTTTTTCTAACTCCTTGTTTTAACCCATTCCTGTGTTACTTGCCTGTCTGACTGATTACCGTGTACCTGACTCCGGCTAATTTTTGTTTTCGCTGTCTCTGTATTACCCTGCCCTTGGCTCAT